GTTTACGACAGCCACCATGCTGCCCGACCTCTGCCGCCATTAGGGCCCGGTGACAAGGTGTGTATCCCAGACTTGAAGAAGGAAGGGAAAGTAGTGGAACGCCTGTCAAACCATTCATAAAATGTGGAGACAAACACCTGCACTGTTCGTCGCAACCGCCGACACGTCATCAAGCAACCCTTGGACGACACCGCAGTTGTTGTTGATGTTGAGCCAAACACCGCTGACCAGCCAGCAGCACCACGTTGTTCGGAACGGGCAACTCGAGGTGTCCCAGCAAACCGTCTCGAGGTGTCCCAGCAAACTGTCCCACAGTACCATACCATCAAAGACAGCTGGCCACAATATTCAAATAGGGGTTTCAAATGCAAGATCATAACGTGAAGCACCTTGGAAGAATGAGTATGTATGCGAAGTGTATCGGGATTATGCATGCAGGACGATAGTGCGGGTTTGAATCCTAGGTTATATTATCTTGAAAAAATACTTCAGTATTTACACAATTGGGTGAACTCACCCATTCCACAATTCTCTGCAAAATCTGAACCATTCCATTATAATACAACGTTTCGGCAGTTGGCCATCGTCAGGTAATAACAATGAATACCGTGGAAGCCACACAAGAGCAGTATATATATATATATGCAGAGTATAGTGCCAAAAAGAGATGCAAATTATGTCACCTAGTATGCAGAAGGGGGGGGGGGGGACAGAGAGAGAGAGAGAAGGTGCAACTAGCACATCACGGAGAAGAAGCAGCAGAAGGTAGCTCGCCATTGCACTGTGCTCTGTGAAGTGAGCGCGCGTGCCATGGCGTTACGCAGAGTGTGGCGCCAAAAAAAAGGATGCGAGTTATGTCACCTCTATGAAGAGGGGGGGGAGAGAAGTTTGCCACCCGCACCGACGGCAGGGCGCTGGGCAGTAGCAAGCTATGACTAGTCGACTGTGAGTATGAGTCAGGTGTGAAGCAGGGAGACAGGGTGATAGGAAACAGGTGTAGAGTGACGACTTGTGACGACTTCCGAGTCGCAGAAAAAGTCAAAGTATGTCAAGTGTGATGAAGCAGTGTGGTCAAAAAGTGAAAAAGAGGCAAGTGCAGATGGTAGCCCAGGTAATGAAAGTAGTATACTAGTACATGTATATGTACAGTATGGTGTAATATTATGCAATATGCATTATAGAAGGTCCCAGCCGGTGCTTGTGTTCACTGTTAATAACCAAGCAACTAAAACTGAATCACTATCCGGACATTGTCATCAACGAGGCACGCACACGAGCTAGCAAGCCAAAGCGTCAGCGTTGGACAAACCCATCCAGTGCCTTCTTGAAATTACCATTCAAATCTGACCAAGTGGATTATGCTGTAAACAAAGCCATACAAAAAAATTATATAAAATACCCGTCAGAGTCGTGTACGAGAATGCTGGAAGCCTGAAGCGTATATTGTGCCAGTCTGCCCTAGTACGTCCATTATGCCTTAAAGCCAAAAACCCAGCACAGCGGAGAACGAGAGGTCGGCCCAAGTGACCGTGCCTGACATGCCAGACGGGGGCCCAGGATGCCTGCATGCAGAAAAATGTGGTATACGAAATAAAATGCAAGAAATGTGTACAGCAATATGTTGGCGAGACGGAGCGATTCCCTGAGACCCGGCTGGATGAGCATACTGGAGACGCACAAAGGAGGACAGTAGACAAGCCCTGGGGGGACCATTACAGAACCAAGCATCCTGACTGCACTTTGGCTTGTGGAGAAAGTGCATTCTCGGAAGTCACCATCATCGCCAGAGAGCCCGACAGAGCCCGTCGCAAGCTTCGTGAGGCCATTGAAATACGTGACTCCAAGCCACCAGTTAACACAAGCACCGGCTGGGACCTTCTATAATGCATATAGCATAATATGTATAGATTATAGACCGGTTAGGAGGTCTATACAGGATATATAGACCGAGTAAAAGACCGAGGTCCCCCGAGGTCTTTTACGAGGTCTATATATCCTGTATAGACCAACTATGAGGTCTATAATCTATTTATCGTGTTCTCCACGCAATAGTTTCTCTTCATATACGACATATCCTTGTAATTCTAGTATTATACTATAGCCTATACCGCATTGGACTGCATTGAAAGTCAAGATCATTGTTTAAACTACGTTCAGCATCGGTAGCACAGTGGCTGGGTGGTAAGGAAGAGTGACTGAGATTCACAAGGTTGTGGGTTCTAATCCCATCTTGTGTATTTCTGCTTTCTTCAAAAATTTCTTTTTCTAAGTTGGAGAGAAAATTTCTAAGTCCAAGAAGTTCTAAGGAGTCAAATATAAGTAGTCAAATATATCGCGTATTTGACTAAGCAGTCAAATACGCGATATATTTGACCGCTTAGGTATCAGGGAAATTAGTGGGGTCAAATACTAAGAAGGCGATAATACACCATACTGTACATATACATGTACTAGTATACTACTTTCATTACCTGGGCCACCATCTGCACTTGCCTCTTTTTCACTTTTTGACCACACTGCTTCATCACACTTGACATACTTTGACTTTTTCTGCGACTCGGAAGTCGTCACAAGTCGTCACTCTACACCTGTTTCCTATCACCCTGTCTCCCTGCTTCACACCTGACTCATACTCACGGTCGACTAGTCATAGCTTGCTACTGCCCAGCGCCCTGCCGTCGGTGCGGGTGGCAAACTTCTCTCCCCCCCCCCTCCTCTGCATAGAGGTGACATTACTCGCATCCCTTTTTTTGGCGCTACACTCTGCGTAACGCTATGGCTCGCGCGCTTACTTCACAGAGCACAGTGCAATGGCGTGCTACCTTCTGCTGCTTCTTCTCCGTGATGTGCTAGTTGCACCTTCTCTCTCTCTCTGTCCCTACCTTGTGCATACTAGGTGACATAATTTGCATCTTTTTTTGGCGCTATACTCTGCGTATATATACTGCTCTTGTGTGGCTTCCACGGTATTCATTGTTATTACCTGACGATGGCCAAGTGCCGAAACGTTGTATTATAATGGAATGGTTCAGATTTGCAGAGAATTGTGGAATGGGTGAGTTCACCCAATTGTGCAAATACTATGAAACTGCAGGCAGCCTCAAAACCTCTTCTCAAAAATACTTCAGTTGGAGAAATGAAAAAATACATAACATCTCTATGTTTTTTCGCCTAGGTCAAGGTGGTAGACGGTGTCGTATTACCCTCGAATGCAAAGAGAAAGTTTATATAACCCAATAAATTCTGCAATTACTTTTTCGTAACTCATATTCAAACCGATTGAAATGTTTTTGCAATACAATGATGTAACCAATAAATGGAAAAAAACATTTCCATCAGTTCTAATAACATGCATGATGAACTAGACATAAAAGCATAGCGTAGGGCCCTGAGCTTCCAAGCTCTCTCGTTAATAATTCTTTTTTCAAACGGGTCCAAGTAACCCGCCTCCCCCCCCCCCCAGCCCCCCCCCCCCACAGGGTCGCTGACCTGCTTGAACTTGCACTGGAGCTGACACTTCTCAAAGTCCATAACCAACTTAATTGAAGACCAAACCTTCTCAGATGCTAAGTACAGTAAAACCTGTAACTAAAGATCACCGTGACTAGCGACCAGCCTGGTACTAAAGACCACCGTGACTAGCGACCAGCCTGGTACTAAAGACCACCGTGACTAGCCACCAGTCTGGTACTACAGACCACCGTGACTAGCGACCAGCCTGGTACTACAGACCACCGTGACTAGCGACCAGCCTGGTACTACAGACCACCGTGACTAGCGAACAGCCTGGTACTAAAGACCACCGTGACTAGCGACCAGCCAGGTGCTAAAGACCACTTTGCCAGGCACGGAAGGTCTCACATTCATACATGGTTGGGTGGTGCAAACCTGTAGCTAAGGACCACCTGCCACTAAAGACCACTTTCTCTGGCCCCAAGGGGTGGTCGTTAGTCACAGGTTTCACTGTAGAAGGCATCAATTCCCTATGAATTCTTCATCGATAAGTATGCGGAACTCTCTATGCCAGTGCCGGTGTTGCCTTTAAAAACTAAGGGAGTATCTCATAAGTTCGCATTTTATTTTGCAAACGTAACGCATTTCGAATAGACTTTACCCCCCTACCTCCCCCCCCCCCCCTCTATTCGAAAGTCTTATCGCACATTTTTTTGTGTAGATCTACTGTACCTGTCCATGCCTCATGCTATGGTATGTACATGTGTACAGCATTGGGTATGTACATGGATATGAATGTTTTGCTGGTAGAGTACTGTAGTGCATCCAGTAGTTACATTCATTACTGAGTACAAGAACAATCAATGACGTGTACTCATCAATGGTCATGTACACACACATTAACGTACATGTAGTTCCTCCAATTCCCCCCTCCATAACAGCTGTGCATGTACAGTGTACAATGTCAATGTACTGCTGTATAAAAAGCAGGCCAGGTACACGGTTTGATCAGGCTGGTGTGACATTTGACACCTCTGAGTAGCCTGCATGCATGCAGTGCAATGGTTAGCTGATCTGCAAACACAGGTAGTACAGGTAGATCCACACCTAAACCATGTAAACACAGTCATCTGAAGCGATCTAGCACATGCACAGCACAGTGTTGTACACTTCCAGAAAATGTGCGAACTGTCTTTTTTCTATTCGAAAAGGGCGCTACCACCCCCCCCCCCTTCTCCTACCCCTTTTCGAAATGCCTTACGTAAAAAAATGCGAACTTATGACATGCTCCCTAAATGTGTGTGTGTGTGTGTGTGTGTGTGTGTGTGTGTGTTTGTGTATGTATAATGTGTGTGTATGTATGTATGTGTGTGTCTGTGTCTCTGTCTGTGTGCGCACGCGCTTGTGTGCATGTGTGCGCATGCACATGTGCGTACATGCGTGTATGTGTGCATGTGTATGAATCTGCATGTGTATGCATGTATGTGTATGTGTTTGTGTGTGTTTGTGTGTACATGGTTTGGATTCATCAACAATGCTACTTCCAGTATGGTAGGACACCATTCCACATGGCAGCAATGAAAGGTCATGTGTCCATACTAGAATATCTACTTAGTGCTGGACATCCATTGGAAGCGAAAGATTCGGTAAGTCAGGATATCCCTGGTGCATGCTTATTTGTGAAGGAGCAGAAAAGAGGGATTACCGTACTTTCGCGATTAGAGCACTCTCTTGAATAGTGCTCTATGTTGAAGAGTACCTCAGTCTCTAAGAGCACGTTAAAAAATATATAGCCCTCTATTGAATTGTGCCCCCCCCCCCCCGGGCTTGTAACCAAGCACATGTGCACGTTTGGTGTTCCAGGCCATGTGATAAGAAATCATGGTCGTTCTGACGTTATGTCCTGACACTTCCCAGACATACCATTTTGCCGCAGGAGTCTTTGAAGGCCAACATTTTTAAAATTCTCGACCCAACAATAAAAGACTCCGAGAAGCTTTTGAACGAACAAATTTTCTCTGGAAACCGGACAGAAACCTTGCCCCTAACCACTTCACCCCTGCGCGAGCATCTTCGCATCTCTCATACTCCATGTCGAAAGGTCCTTGTCGCGCTCAGCAGTCCACTTGTCAAAATTGGTGGCACGCACAGCACGGAACTTCATGCCATGAGGAGGGCCATTGTGGCCACCTTTTCTCTACCCAATCTTTAAGGACTAGAACTGATCTCGTAGAATGCGAAATCGGCATTCTTGCACATACTTCTCCCACGATAAGTTGAATAACTCCACTAACAACTTGTAGGTCGATTTTCACAATCTTGAGCTTTCTGGAAGGCTCTATCCATAAGGAATACATTTCCTGTAGACATGACGAGCATCAAGGTAAAAGTACAGTGAGCGAAGCAAGCGTACACGCCAGGGTCATGTTAACCCTTTGAAAGCCGATTGAAAATTTCAAAATTCTGCATATTTTCATGTTCTTTGGGACGTAACTTCAGTTTTACTCACTCAATCTTCACAATCTTGGGCTTCCTGGAAAGGTCTCCACGAGAGGAAGAGACTGAGATTACGCATGATGACCAGGACGCCATATCTCCAGCGCCGGAGAGCAGCGAACTAGCGAAAACTGCTTCAAATGCGTGCACTTTCGTCCTGCTCCAGCATTTTCATTTTTCTTGATCGCAGAGTTTCGATTTTTTCGCTGTGTACCCTTTGAAATGTTACCAGTGAAACCCACACAAATTTGAGTAAATCAGCGCGAGGAAAAGTCTCAAAATTCTCAACTTTCGAGTTTTCAAGTGCCGCGATCGCGGCTGAACTTACGAACGATTTATCTCAAGTACCGTTGATCGCAGCGCGTCGCGGATGGGTTCTACGGCACGCTGAGATGTTTCTCTTCAAGGTAGATATTTGGATCGTTGATTTTGAGCTAGTTTTGACCGAGTTACAGCCTGTTGAAGTCTCACAGTCGAGTGTGTAGAATTCTACACATTCAAGTATGGGTCGGCTCTCAAAGGGGGATGTTGGGGACAATTTAGGCCAAATTTCATAATCGTAATATTTTGATGTAAACAGATTTGTTGGAGTCTTAGGTGCCTTAGGTTTCAAATTCTGAAATAAAAAAGGGTGGTCCCCATATCCGTTTTGTCAACTTCAGCCACTTTTCCACCCCTAATTTTTACGGACATTGCTGGGTGGTTGCACATTTTCTACTATATTATCTTTATAATCTCTTGCAGCACTGCATTGAAACTTTCGGGAATACAAAACCGACTCGGTTTGGATTGTAAAGAAAGTAGGAAAATGTCATTGGGACTAAGCACTCCACCGAAAATTTCAAAATGCAAAGCTGCGCTTTTCCTCACAAAAGGAGAAAAGAAAGTAATTTCTCACAAGATTTCCAAAGTAATATTTTTTATGAAAATGGGTTTATGGGATCCTTTCATTAAAGCAACAGGTTTGCCAAATAAAAACCGGGTGTCCCCATATTCGTTGAGACAATAAACACTACTATTATATGTACTAAAAATGTCTTATTTTGATACTGTAGGTTCAGGCATGCAAAGTGGCTCAATTTGACCGGTGACAAAAGTAAAAACAACCCAGATATTCCTGTCTTTGTTTGGTAATGCCTCCTAAGCAATTTAAAGGCAAGTATTAATGTAGTTGAGAAGAAGTAGCGACGACCCGGCCATTATGGAATCCAATACACCACCACCGGTATATAGATTTGCTCAGTCGGTAGAGCATGAGACTCTTAATCTCAGGCTCGTGGGCGCCAATGTTGAAACAACATTGTTGAACGTTCTGACATAACAACTACATTTTGGCAAGAGAGAGCTTGACTCAAGAGAGCGACGCAACGCAACGCAACAACTACATTATGACTAGCGATTATTTGAAGAGAGTTGAGAGAGAGATTTGAGGAGAGGCAACGCCATATATAGGGCCTGGGTAGCTATGGAAAACATGGGTGCGCAAGTAGCTACCGAGGCCAACGGAACGAAAGGTGAGAATGACGTAGGTGAGAATGACGTAGTACGGGCGGAGGTACCTAACAGATTGACATTGACAATGACCCTCCAGACAGCTGTTTCGCTCCTCCTGAGCTCATCAGTGGAGGCATAATATTATGATGTTGAATGAAAGAATAATAGGAATAGACTGATCTTTATATTATGATAAATTGTCTGCAGGGTCATTGTCAATATCAATCTATATACCGGAATTGTCCTCGCTGCGGTGATGGTGATGTGAGTGCAGAGTTTGGATCGGCCAAGAGCGCAATGTGGTGGTGTGGTGAATTGGATTCCATAAGCAGGCGTGTAACGCCGTATCGCAACCAAAGCAGCTAGAGTTTGCCGCACGATGTCCGCAAAACGCCCAAATAAAAGCAGGATAAAAAGTATCTCAAAGTGCCCGCGTTAAACGTAACCTCGTTCATCAGTGTTTCGATGAGTGCACTGGACTTGTACAATCATGTACTGAATACGTTCATCACACATGTTTTCTACACGCTATACTGTATATCAGTCTTGAACATGATCGTACATGTAGCCATTTTCGGCACCTTTGAAACCGTACAACAGCTGCGTGACCTGAGCGCGCGGCGGGGGGGGGGGGGGGTGGGGGTAGGAGCTGAGTGTGAAGCAAGGAGCAGCAAGTACCGGTGTTTTAATGCTCCATGGTGTGAAGTGACTACACTGTGCTGTTTTTGTTCCAACTTGCTGCTCCCTGCTATTTGAGGAAAAGAAGCCATGCTTGTTTGCAAGTCCAACTTTCGCAGCCTCCAGAAAAACCTTTTTAAGAAGCAGCCGATAGTACATGTACATATAGTTCAAGATCAAAGGGAATGATGTACATGTACAACGTATACCATGGTATACAATGTAGCCTGCTGCATCACACTCATTTCTGAGTGCAGTTTACCACGAAACTTCAAAATAAAAGGAGCTGGCCGAGCAAAAATCCTTGGCTGCAAAAATAAAAATAGGATGAATTTTGTACCCTATGTCACGTCACATGACCGTCCAAAGCAGACTAAAAGGAGCTACGCTACGCCCCTGCATAAGTATCAACGTAATTGAAAGAAAAAGAAAATTGCCCATATTGGGATTCAAACCACAAACCTTGATTTGGGAAAGAAAAAAGAAAAAAAGGTCGCCAAAAGTGGGGTTCGAACCCACAAACCTTGATTTGGAAAAGAAACAAAGAAAAAAAGGTTCCCGAAAGTGGGGTTCGAACTCACAACCTTCAGTCTTGGCCAAAATGGCGATAACTGTCGCCAAGAGTACATAAACCAGAGTGTGCAACTCGGGATGGTTCCTATGGGAGCGTAATTTCTGACGGCATGGTAAGCCACAGGTACGGTGAAAAGTTGCGTAACCAGTCGCGGTGGTGCAGGTCACTGAGTTTGTCCTGATTTCGGTTTCTTGATAGCCTGGTGACTTTACTTGTCGGTGGATGTACGAAGCATACACAGTCACACAAAACACCGAAATCCTGAAACAGGGCGTCTAAAATCAAGCAAACTTGGCTGATTTCCGGGCTATGAAACATGAAATTTTGAGCTGTACGCAAGTCGCGGCTTGGCTGACCTCATCAGGGTGGCGTAGTGTACGAACTGCGCTGTTTCAGATCTGATATGCACAGTTGCACACTCTGGTGTATGTACTCTTGCTGTCGTGAACCTCCTTAATTGCGAGGGAAATACTCATCGCAATACAATTCCCTCAAAGTTTATCGTAGAACGCTGGGATTTTTGCAAAGACTTCTGGATGCCCGTAGCCTGATTGGGTCGTAGCACCTGACTGGCTAGGGAAGCGCAAAAATGGGCAAAACCCAGCTTAAGTGCATTTTACAAGGTCATAATAAAGCTTGAGATATAGCCCCACTGTCGACGTCCGCACCCTGTGGTGTTTCGTCACGTACTGAGTATGATGCTGCTGACTGGTTCTGACATTTGACGCGATGTGCTGTCCCAATTCCTTGCGAGATCACTTTGGGTGGGGGAGCACTGCATTAAGCTTCTAAAGCTGACATCGTTCCGCCGAGCCATGATAGTGATGGCAAATGAGAGCACGTTCTTCGCTTGCGGAGTCGTGAAGTGATACTTCCTTTTTCAGAGGTGACGGTTAACGCCGTGCTAGACAAGTCGGAAGGGTTGCTGACCTGTGCCTTGAAGATACCCGATGGGTGATTTCAAGGGATGAACGATGTGATGATGGCGCATGCGCTAGTGGGGCCTACAGTGAGTGGTGTTCCCGTACGGGTGTTGAATTACTCTGACGAGGCAGTTGCTCTAGAGAGGGCGCTGCAGATTGGTCGGTTAGAACCAATACTCTAGACCGCCGGCAGGTTGGAGGGAAAACGGCATTGCCATCTGCTGTTATGTTTGGGGGAAGAGTCCATATTGGGTGAAACAACGAGAATGACACAGCTAGGCTTTCCGCCTGCTGCAATGCATCCCAGCCATCGGATCGCGGACCAAGAACATGCAAGCATTTGAAAAACACTGTATTCACATTTGAGTGAGCGGGCTCCCCGTATTGATCTTTGTACTAATGTTATCTCCTAGTTTGGCTGATTGCATCACTGTTTGAAATATAGAAATAATATTTATGCGTTCTTTTCGCTGTTGCCTAC